AGGAGAATGGGCCGACTGATTCAAGCTGATAGAAGAGCAACTTTGACTGAAATAACCACTCGTTACAACCGAGGTATGCAGCAAAGCATTTGTGAAGCCACAACACGCACAACCTTGAGGCGGATGGGCTACAACAGCAGAAGACCCCACCAGGTACCACTCATCTCCACTACAAATAGGAAAAAGAGGCTACAATTTGCAAGAGCTCACCAAAATTGGACAGTTGAAGACTGGAAAAATGTTGCCTGGTCTGATGAGTCTCGATTTCTGTTGAGACATTCAGATGGTAGAGTGAGAATTTGGCGTAAACAGAATGAGAACATGGATCCATCATGCCTTGTTACCACTGTGCAGGCTGGTGGTGGTGGTGTAATGGTGTGGGGGATGTTTTCTTGGCACACTTTAGGCCCCTTAGTGCCAATTGGGCATCGTTTAAATGCCACGGCCTACCTGAGCATTGTTTCTGACCATGTCCATCCCTTTATGGCCACCATGTACCCATCCTCTGATGGCTACTTCCAGCAGGATAATGCACCATGTCACAAAACTCGAATCATTTCAATTGGTTTCTTGAACATGACAATGAGTTCACTGTACTAAAATGGCCCCCACAGTCACCAGATCTCAACCCAATAGAGAAATATGGTGGAACGGGAGCTTCGTGCCCTGGATGTGCATCCCACAAATCTCCATCAACTGCAAGATGCTATCCTATCAATATGGGCCAACATTTCTAAAGAATGCTTTCAGCACCTTGTTGAATCAATGCCACGTAGAATTAATACAGTTCTGAAGGTCGAAAGGGGGTCAAACACAGTATTAGTATGGTGTTCCTAATAATCCTTTAGGTGAGTGTATATACACTCACCGGCCACTTTATTAGGTACCCCATGCTAGTAACGGGTTGGACCCCCTTTTGCCTTCAGAACTGCCTCAATTCTTCGTGGCATAGATTCAACAAGGTGCTGGAAGCATTCCTCAGGGAGTTTGGTCCATATTGACATGATGGCATCACACAGTTGCCGCAGATTTGTCGGCTGCACATCCATGATGCGAATCTCCCGTTCCACCACATCCCAAAGATGCTCTATTGGGTTGAGATCTGGTGACTGTGGAGGCCATTTTAGTACAGTGAACTCATTGTCATGTTCAAGAAAACCAATTTGAAATGATTAGAGCTTTGTGACATGGTGGAAGTAGCCATCAGAGGATGGGTACATGGTGGCCATAAAGGGATGGACATGGTCAGAAACAATGCTCAGGTAGGCCGTGGCATTTAAACGATGCCCAATTGGCACTAAGGGGCCTAAAGTGTGCCAGGAAAACATCCCCCACACCATTACACCACCACCACCAGCCTGCACAGTGGTAACAAGGCATGATGGTTCCATGTTCTCATTCTGTTTACGCCAAATTCTGACTCTAACATTTGAATGTCTCAACAGAAATCGAGACTCATCAGACCAGGCAACATTTTTCCAGTCTTCAACTGTTCAATTTTGGTGAGCTCTTGCAAATTGTAGCCTCTTTTTCCTATTTGTAGTGGAGATGAGTGGTACCCGGTGGAGTCTTCTGCTGTTGTAGCCCATCCGCCTCAAGGTTGTGCGTGTTGTGGCTTCACAAATGCTTTGCTGCATACCTCGGTTGTAACGAGTGGTTATTTCAGTCACTGTTGCCCTTCTATCAGCTCGAACCAGTCTGGCCATTCTCCTCTGACCTCTGGCATCAACAAGGCATTTCCGCCCACAGAACTGCCGCTCACTGGATGTTTTTTCTTTTTCGGACCATTCTCTGTAAACCCTAGAGATGGTTGTGCGTGAAAATCCCAGTAGATTAGCAGTTTCTGAAATACTCAGACCAGCCCTTCTGGCACCAACAATCATGCCACGTTCAAAGTCACTCAAATCACCTTTCTTCCCCATACTGATGCTCGGTTTGAACTGCAGGAGATTGTCTTGACCATGTCTACATGCCTAAATGCACGTAGTTGCCGCCATGTGATTGGCTGCTTAGAAATTAAGTGTTAACGAGCAGTTGGACAGGTGTACCTAATAAAGTGGCCGGTGAGTGTATATCTTGCCTAGGCCTATATGTAATACAATTCAATGGTTGGAAGTTAAAAAGCGTAAAAACTCGTCCTGTTTTTCAGGAGAGCTTATTGGACAAAGATCATCACGTGGCTGTGGCGCTGGGAAAGCCAGATATCAGCGCGTCTAAAGTGAGTTTACAGATGTTACACAACTTTAGACGTCAGCGCAGTTCGGGACATCATACTTCTTTGTTTTATAGGAGGACGGTGGAAGTTTGTGTGAAGCTCCGCCCCTTTCGTTCACTCACTTGAGTTTCAGTGATCTGGTGTCTAGAGCCACGCCCCTAACCGAGGAAGACTCCGCCCACTGGGAGAGATTTCACAGCAAAAAGGAAGCGCCTTCAAGGCAAAGTGAACAGCAGTGACCCTTGAATGCAAATATATGTAAATAAAGTACATGTTTATATATTCCTTGTTCGTTCGGGGTCGTTTCTGTTCTGTAAGATCTTTTGACACTTTAACTTTATTACTTAAAGGGGTGGTTGATTATGATTTCACTTTTCTAACTTTAGTTAGTGTGTAATGTTGCTGTTTGAGCACAAACAATATCTGCAAAATTACAACACTCAAAGTTCAAAGCAAAGGGAGATATTTGCTTTTAAAGAAATCGTTTTTTATTCCTCCCAGTGACATCACCAACCCTAAAATTTACATAACCCCGCCCCCTGGGAACGCGATTTATAGATTATCGTGACAGAATATGCTAATCAATGACTAGAAGATAAATAAATTCATCAACTAACTATTCAGAGATGTCCTGTTGCTTCTACATGTTGTCACTTCTTCTTGGGTCTCTCCATCTTTGTCTGACTCGGGTTTGAACATAAAAGACTAAAAGTTTTTGAAATTTTCAGTGCGTGTGTGTGTGAGGTAAAAGGACACGAGCTCTTGAAGCTCCGCCCCCTGTGCCGGGAGCAGCAGCTCATTTGCATTTAAAGGGACAGACACAAAAACGGTGTGTTTTTGTTCAACCTCAAAAAGTGACAATTTTATCATGCTATAAAATGATCTGTGGGGTTTTTAGAGCTAAAACTTCAAACACACACTCTGGGGACATCAGAGACTTTATAAAAGGGCATTATACCACCCCTTTAAGGCGACTTATGACATTGTTTTCATATTTTAACCATTATTTGAAATGCCAATATTGTCAAACTGATTTGTTTAGAGAGAAGCAAACCCAAATACTACAGCACAAAACATCTCAGAATTCATTAAATCTATTTTTCTGATATTTGTGCTGCTGTTTTCCCTCCAAAATGATGTAATTTCCTGGAGGATGATGTCATGAAGGAACTGGCTTTAGGTAGTTAATGGGATCAAACTCTACTTATCCAGTGCATGACACATCCGATGGGAACATGAAAATGTACTGCATAGTATGAATGACCCATTTATGTAAGAGATGAGTTTATTTTCCCAACCTACACCTCCAAATGTCTCTCTCTTTCTCTGTCTCGTTCCCTCCATCTGCCACCATCTATTTTTATCTGCAGACATTCAGCAGGCCATTAGGACTGTGTGTTTGGAGGGTCCTGCTTTTAACAAATCGGACACAGGTATGCATTTCCGCTCGTGTGTTGTTAACTGCAGGACTGCGTTTCATTTGTCCAGCCAAGCCCCGCCCCTCGCGCTTGATTGACAGGAGTGTCAGCCACTCAGATCGTGAGCCACTGAGCCTGTCCAAACTCATACAGCAGAGTTTAAAACAGCAAAGTCAATTACAGCACAAGCAGAACGGTCAAGGGTGAACGAATGGAAAACGCAGATGGGATCTTGTTTAGATTAAACTTTACGCTGATGTAATTACATTTTCTCCAAAGTAGGAAAGATAGAGAGATTGAACATTTGAATATAAATGAGATTCTATCATGCGAATTTAAGGTGATGCTTCACAATAAGATTTTTATTTATCAACATTAGTTAAGTACGTTTAACAAAGATGAATAAATGCTGTAGAATTATTGTTTATGTTAATTTTACACGTTCTAATACATTTTTTAATTCAAAAGCTTAATGCACTGTGAACTAAGATGAACAAAAAATTAACTATTTTTATTAACTACCATTAACAAAAGTTAACAAACGTGGAAATATATTGCTCATAGGTAGGTTATGTTAAGTTTATGAATGAGATCTTATTGTAAATCATTACCCAATTTAATAATGCAGTCTAATTAAAGTCTGCTGCACATAATTTGCAATTTTCTTGAAGATGTCCATAAACCAGACACATTTTTTTTAATATGATACAATATCATAAATAAATTCTACATTTTGGCTTTTCATTTTTTAAATGAAGCGGAATGTTTTTGCTGTGAAATTTATATATTTATATATAATTATTGAGAGATTGTATATAATATACAATAAATAATTTATAAATTATATGTAATAATATATAATTTATATATACAGTGTTTATACACACACATATACTATATATATATATATATATTATAATAAAAACTAAGAGATGTATATAAGAGCAGGAATATTATGCTGATTTTACCACAGTTGCCTGTGTTTTATTGGCTTGACATGAAGCATATTGGTGATGTTTATTTACATTAATTAATAGTATTTTTAATGAATAGTTGCTGGATCGTAATGTAGTTTGACTATAAGCTAAATACAGTGCATGTTTTACAACTTCTAACATGATTTTGATGCAATAATTATCTGTTTAATAGTGAAATATAGCATAATACAGTCCAATACGATGCTGAAACATGCATGTGTGTGCTTGTGTGCATTGGACTTCTTTATTCTCCTGAAACCTATATATCTATATACTGAAATCTAATGGATATATATATCTATATATATATATATTAGGCTATATATGTTCTCCTGAACGCCTCATAAACCGGGAGAGCGAGCGAGAGCGGCGATGAAGAGAACAGCTCTT